AGGCGCATTTGAGCCCAACCCTTCACGATCTGTTGTTGCCCGCTAGGGGAAACGGGGAAACGGGGAAACTGGTCCATCCTCTTGCAAGTTCAGGGTTTGTGAGTTCGTGCAACTCGACGACCCAGTGTTAACGCGTTTCTTGTTTGGTGTTATTATGTGTTTCTTGGAGGTTCCCAGCCACGCCCTTCAACTGTTGGACGTCCAGAGCGAAATGGATTTGCGACATACCGACTGGTTGCTAAATAACAAGTGTTTAAAATCATGGCTAAAAGACACCCAAGAATAGGTGCCCCACGTGTGACATGTGAATCCACAAACCGGTCGAAGAGATTGGGTTTCTCCAACAAAAGTTGGTCTGAAGCCAAGCTGTGGATAGTTGCGAAATCCATTTCGCATCTTTCAGAAACCCTATGGTGATTCCCCCTTCAAGAAATCAACAACCTGGAATGGTGATTTCCCCCCCGGTAACTGCCAAGAAATACACCCTATGTTGACTCCTTCTTCTGTTTATACCAAGAAATACTCCCTATGGCGATTCCCCTGTAAAAACCGCAATGGTTTCGCTGCTCGTGCGAGACAGCTTAGCGTCGGCTTGGCTTCAGGCGTTTGGAGCAGCTCCGCCAGCAGCGGGACAGCCAGGACGGCAAAGGGGAGCCTCACTCGGGTGCCCAGTGGTGCCCGTTGTTTTTGTCTTTTTTTTGGGGTAAGGGTTTCCCTTCAAACTCAACCAACAGAGACAGGGAGACCTGCAAGATGGCTTCCGGGCTCCCTTTCGGCGCCTTGTCAAGCCAGGGTTGTGGGAATGACTTGGGAACCCACTTGCGCCGAGAAATCCCTGCTCACCTACGGAATCTTGGTATTGCCATCAGCGCCATATAAACCTTTGGCTGTCTCATGAAGGTTCCGTTGGGGTGGCCCGGCCCTTGTCTGCGAGCAACATCGCCCATTGTTTGTCAACTTCTTCCTTTGGACACACCAAAAGGGGATGTGCATCCAAATCCCCTACCCTCCCACCAATCAACATTGAACCTGACTGGAGGCGCCTTCAAAAGGAAAATGGGCTTCCACGACCTCCCTGTCAGGTTCCATGTTAATTGGTGGGAGGGTATTTGGCACCCAGGTATTTTGAGGTCCGTCGAATTATGTGAATCTGTGTGCCTTGTTTTTTTTTTTGACAAGTCCCTTTTCGGCGTGGCTCAAAGGAAAGCCAACAGCGAGGCCACGGGGGGCTCCCCCCAAAAAAAGACACGAGGTTCGGTCTGGACCCATCCAAGGATTCCATGTAGCCGCAGATTTTGGGGAAAGAATCCTGATTGCTTGGTGGGTTTTCGTCCTTTAGGGGGTTTTCTCAAAAAGGGTTCCCTTTTCTGCCAGCATTTCAAACTGCTTGGCTGCTGTAGCCCATAGGCTTGAGTTACCCAAAGGGACCCCAAAGCGCATTTGATATCTCCAATTTTTCCAGATCCCTATTTTGCATCCAGTCAAGGGGCCAGTCAAGGTCAGTGCATCGTCTGTACACGCGGAATTCGGATCGTCTGTACACGCGGGACCGGATCATTTCTGCACGCGGGCCTTTTTTGCCCCGGATCGTTTGTACACGCAGTGCTTACTGCTATGCAGCGCTAGGCGGACGCGCGTGTGCGGGTGTGCCCCACCCCGCCCCGCCCCAGCCCCCACCCCCACCCCACCCTTCCCCAATACCGCACCCCATCTGTTGCACGTGAGCGGGTATGCTTATTAGGTGGCAGGCATGTGCTTACCATTCCCCCGCCTCCCCACCCACTCCCCACCCCGTCGGGCTACTCTTCCGCATGCGTGGAAACAGCGCTGAGCGGGTGCACTTGAGCGGGTGTGCTTACCATTCCCCCCTCCCCCCCACCACCCCCCCCCCCCACAGTGCTGAGCGGGCGCACTTGAGCGGGTGTGCTTACCAATCCCCCCCCCCCCACCCCCCCACCCTGCCAAAAGTGTGTGTGTGTGTACAGATGAGCCAGATGACAGAAACCTTGTGTGCGCAGATGATCCAGAGTGCATGGCGCAATAAGTGAGGAAAGCCTGTGTGTACAGATGATCCAGATTTGTGTGCGCAGATGATCCCCTGCCCCCAGTCAAGGATGAAGGTTTCAGAAAGTCATAGGGGACGCACAGGAGCTCAACGAGTGCTCTTTCAATCCTGGCCTGCTCCCTAGTGAACCTGCCGGCTGGAGGGAGTGGGTCTCTCAACAGCTATGGGCAAGTGGCTCGTGCTGGTGCTTTGCATGTTGGGGAGAGTTTCTGGGGGTTGGGGACACGCCTTACCCTGAAAGTGGGCACTTTGACCCTCGCAAAAACCATCACGAATCACGACCCACGGGGTCATGGTTGTGAACAGTTGGCTAGTGGCCAAGAATCTTGGTAAGAAAGCTAGTCATGGGGCTTGACGCTTGATCTCACGTTATTTCTGACAGAAAGTATCTCAGCGCCCAAAAGTGAGCCCAAGACCCCTATTGGCAATTTTAGTAGGTAGTACCACCAGGTTTCATCAAGGTTATAGCAAAGCCTGTCACCTTGATGCGGTTTGGCACCAAGAGTCAATGGCTTTGGGGCGCTCGAGTTTAGTCGAATTGGCTCTTCCAGCTCGAGCCTTAGAGTTCTCAGCCGTGAGTCATCCTGCCTTTTGGCTTCCTGGCGTCCAAAACCCGGATTCCAAGTCCCAAAACCGGGGCACCGGCAAGTTTGGACAAAGCACAAAAAGTCGAGCTTCTGGTAAACCAAACAAAAAGTCTGTGGTTTTTGTTGTGCCTGGTTTCTTGGGCAATACACGGAGGAAGTGAGCCCCGACCCCCCGAAAAATGTGTGGATGTTTTTTGTTTTTGTTGTTTTTTTTCTTCTTGCTTCTTTGGGGGGGCACAAGGGAAGCTGCAACGGGACGCTGTTCGAAGTAGATGCAGAAATTGACTCAAAGATTGCCCGGGACTTCATAAGCTTCCTGGGTTTGAAGGCGATGCCTTTGAATGTAGGTACAGGGGCAATGCATGGAGGGGTTTCACTCGCGCATGTGCGAGTGGCGGACTTGTGAGCGGCGGACTTGTCTATACGCTTGATTTTGGTCCCCTTTCCACGGGGACGTTGTTGTTTTTTTTGGGGGGGGGGTTGACGTATTATGGTCGGCCCATGCAGGGTCCAAAGATTTGGTGTCTATCGCTGGTTTCAATGGAAAGATGACTATTTGAGGATTGATCCATTCCCTGGAATCATTTATATGCCTCTGTGAACTAGGCAACCAAGAGCAGGCTTCAAGATATGACTCCACTTCTCACTGGGAAAAATCCACGCAGGTGCGAGGTTGAAGCGCAATGGGAGCTGCAGAAGTTGACTACGGCTACGAGCAACCGACAAATGATTGGCTACCCATCGTTGATTCGGGGAGGACATGAGCCCATTCTTTCAACCCGAAATTCCGGGGATGAAAAAGGCCCACTTGCCCCTCATGATTTTGGGGAACGAGTCGAATTGCTCTCCACAAAAATCGCCCCAAGCCAAGCCCCCTTGTCATATGGCCCCCCAAAAGTTGGTTACTGAACAAACCATTGCAAGCCATTGGAGGTCCCAGAAGAGCCCCTCCAAAGCCTCCCTAGGTCGACGCAGTCGGGGACCGAGAGCACTGTGGGAGTGGCTGATTTCAGCCGGACTGGGAGTCCGCGTCACCTGTTCGAGTGTTCAAACTTGAAAGCCCAACTTGTTATGCGGGCTGGGTCCTATGGCATGCGCAACAGCAGTATCCTGTTCATGCCATACGGTCCGAGAATAGACATATCGGGCCCTTTTGATGTGTTCGGCCAAGTTAGAAAGTGGTTCAGAACCTGGAAGTCTCTCAAATGTGCCAACCTTGTTGGTTGGCCTGCGACAGGCAATGAAGAAGCACAACCAATTTGGGGGACCGTTGTGTTGAGAAACACCCACCCGGGTCCTATATCCTAGTTAATGCCCAGTTGCGGCTGAGTCCACGTGGCCAAGCACCAAGCTCGCCAACATCAAGTATCTTGCCGCAAAGCCATGGGTGTGTCTGTTTTTTTTAGGGGCCCCCGAAAAATGGCTGATGTCCGTTTGGTGTCTCTTTAAAACCAGCCAAAAAGGGTACCCTTAAAAAAGACACCCATGGTCAGTGTTTGGGGGATGGATGGGTCAGCAGGTCATCCCAGAGGATTTGGACAACCATTGTCAGGGTAGCAGATAGCACCTCCGTTTATGGTCCCCTTGACAAGGGACCAGTGCCATCTGCTTTGACCCTAACTAAGGAGCGGTTTGACCATCCATGGAAGGGAAGAAAAATGTACCGCCCCCAGCACACCCAACCCAAGAGTTTTTGTAGGTTCAGTTCAGCATTTCGTGTTTTAGAGGATTTCCCCATATGTTCCAGGACGTGCACAAAAAAAGATTTCACGGAGCGTACAAAAGCACAGGGGTTGGGTTCCCGCCCAGTCAGGTTTCTTTGTAGGCTGTAGAGTTGCAACTTGCAACTCTTCAGAATTTCGAGGATCTACCGTCTGGTTGGACCCAAGTCAAATTTCAAAGGTATTCCTTTCCCTCCAATTCCATAGATGGGCCCCACCCAGAAAATCATAAACCGTCCAGGCTTGCGGCCAAACCCGTTTTTTTTCCTCCAGGTTTGACGCATACTGAGGCAGGACAGTTTCCTTTAAGTGGAGGATGAGAGGGAAACACGGGCATTAGTCATTTTGAGAAGCTCTCAAATGTTCACTTTCAGGGATCTCGAAATTCATCTCATGAATTTTCGGAAGCTTTGGGCGGGAGAACCTCCGTGCAAGGTTTCGGGAGTCTGTGGGATTGAAGTGTTGTCCTGATGAGCATAGTTAGAACAAGTTGAACTTTGTTCGAAGAGGTCCTCATGTTCTGTGATACCAAAGAAGTCCCCTTTGAAGCGAGCAACTTGTCAGGATGGGAATCCCACGATGAGGTATCACACAAAAGGCAATGTTCCACAACCGTGAACGTCAGCAATGGGCGTGCGGATTCACCAGAAGATTCGCGTTGGGTAGGCCATGTACTCTTTGTTCTGAAGGTTTACATCGGTTTGGGTAGTTTTGAAGCCTATCTGGGTAGTTTTGAAACCTATCGGTTTCCGGTGGTAAGATTTGCTCTCGAATGTGCCATGGTAACAAGATCCCTTGGTTGGTACGGATGCTTAGTATTTTCTAAATAGGTATGTCTCAAAATTGGCCTACCCCTTTCACGCTGGATTTTTCTTGGGTGTTGCCAAAAAAGTGGGGCGCGGGGGGGGGCAGCCTCAAAACACAAAGACACCCGTCGGAGGCCACTCGCCATCCTCACAGGCTGCTGCAAGCTCGGAATGAAGTTGAGAGGAGGGGTTTCCACGGGAAGCAATCCAATCATCGGGGTATCTCCATGAGTCACCCCCTGAGTTCCGTTTCGGACTCAAAACTTCTTGGGTTTGGACCAATTCGTGTGGCAAACACAAACTTTTAACAAAAAATCTGGCCAATCCAAGTGAGATGATCCTCTCAAACCCGGGGGGTCTCCAAGAAACTCCTTAGGAAGTATCCACTGTGCAGAGGTCATTGGTTTCACTGTTTCTGGGGGTTATCAAGGTCAGAGAATGGAGTCGGTTGTTCCCCTTTAAGCCACTTCGTGACTTTGATGATGGTAGAACAGTGAGGCCAGTTGTGTCAAAGGGCTTCGCCCCAATAAGTGGAGCAAGGTGGAGGGGGAAAGGCCGATTTGGACACTGACGCTTCCCTCAGCAACATTTCGAGGACTTGAGACCCAAAAACCTCCACATAGACTCTCGGGACCCATGTCTCGGAACCCATTACCTCCGAACAAAAAGACGAAAGGCGCATCAGCTGGCCAAGAAGCCATGTGTCGCTGCAACACCAGTTGGTCGCCTGGAACAAGTTGAACTATGTATGACCCCCCCCATGTTGGGCAATTAGTAGCAATCTGTCGCTGAAAAAGCCAGTTGATCGCCTGGAAAAGCTAGACTATGCATCATGTTTATCATTTGGACCCTTCATTTGGGGCAATTTTCCTTGGGTTTGCCCCCAAAGAAGCAGGGTGTTTACCCTCGAGAAACGGGCGGCCTCAAAAGCCCAGCCTAGGCCTTGCTGCGGCGCCTGGCGAAGCCTGCGTCGCCAGGGCTCGGGCCAAAGATGGGGCGGGGTCTCCTCCAAATCGAATTCTTATTTGTTGGGGACAAGGACTGAAGCAAAATGGCGGCCGTGGTCACCTGAGCCACTGGGCTCAAAAAACCGGGTAGATGAAGGGAGGGACAATTCTGGCCATACATAGCTGCGGCCGCCTTCTTAATTCTTTACATGGTTCTGGGTAGACCACTTTTATACCAGGTTTTAATTACTCTTCTGGAATCATAGTTGTTTCTGTACAGATGTCCAAGTTTCGTCAAGGTCTCAGCTCTATATCTGTTGTTTCCTGGTAGGGGCTGAGGGATCTTGATGGAAGCTGCCGGTTTCATGGGGTCTCGAGCGCTTCCGATCTCGAAGGCCATGTGCTTCACTTGGGGGGTGCTTATGTCAGGCTTGGACGGTTGGTGGAATTTGCAGATGGGTCTAAGACTGTGGTTTTAACACCAAGCTATTTGTTTATCCTGCGGTGGGTGACTTCGCGTGCGCCAACCTCAAGGGAAACAACTATGTGGATGTGGGGACGTTCCGCAACCCTATATTCCGCAACCCTATATTCCCTACACTACTGAGTATAACAGTTGTATGTGTATATATATATATTATACATACACATATGTGTTTATATGCACATACATATGTACTTGCTGATATCACTGACCAACAGCTTGTTGTGTTCGTCAACTGGCAGAGGCGGGAGCATCACAGAGAATGTCTGGGACTTTGTCAAAAATGGTTGGGTTCGTTTAGGTAGGTTTCGTTTGGACAGGCCATGTTGGGTTTATTTGTTTTAGGCAAATGCTTTCGCAGACCTTGTAAAAGTTTGAGTTTGTGACGTTGGGCGCCTAGAAATTTAAGTTCATTTAGGGGTTTCCCATTTCAAGTGGCGATTAGTACAACCCAAATGTGTTCCTTCCAACGGTTGGTTATACGTGGTCAAGGGTTCCCCTTCGACCTTTCCCGCGTTCAACTTTGTGGGGCCCTTCGTAACTTCGCAAAGTTACCCTATCAAGCTGCTTAATGCGTTGATCGTTTGCTGAAACCTTTTAATAGCTGAAGTTTGTTTCGCCCTTTTGCTTAAAGTCCTTTTTTGACCATCCGTCGGCGTTGAACGGGTTCGAACACCAGAACCCATCTCACGTTTTAACGTTCACGGTTCAAGTCTAGACACCAAGAAGGAAGGTGGCTTTCCTTTCAGCTTCTCTAAACAAACCAACCAAACAAACCAAACAAGCTAAGCCAAAGAAACGGACCAGACATTTGTTTTGTTTACGGCTTCTCTGTGGCCTTGTCGGACCCCGCGGAGTCCTCGTGGACGCCGAAGCGGCACGCTTCGGCGCGCGTGGGTTCTTTCGCCTGGGTCCGGCGCTCGATCGCAAGGCCCCGCGCGTGCCAGCGCCTCGAGACCTGGAAGGCGGAGAAGCTGGCGGCGGCGCAAGGCGCGGGATCCGCGTCGAATCCGCGTAATAAGCGGCGGGTAAGCGGCGAGGGGAGGTGGGGTTTTGATCGATTCGATTTGGGTTGGATCCAACCAACCAATTTAACATCTGTTTTGGGTCTTGGGTTTTTTCTAGCTGCCCAGTCAACCAACATTTAACCACCAACATGTGGTTGTTTTGGTGTGGAAGATAACCTACATTGAACAAGCTTGAAAGCTTGAACCATCATCTCTTGGCCTGGAACGGTTTTGACGGCGCGAACATAATTACGTTCCAGCAACTTGTACAGACTTGCGCTTTTGGGGTGGGGGGTTCATTCCAACCAATCACGGGTGTGGAGCCCTTTGAAGGCTCGTCGGGTGTGAGCATCATGGAAAAGGGCTTGCTTTGTTCAACCATTTGGGAAGCACATGTCCCCGCTTGAACTCAGAAACTGGGGCCCCCTTTTTCAAGACATCCTCAAGACTTACCTGAGCTACGTGGTGGTGTAAAAGGGGGTCACCCCCAAATGCAATGAAATGAGGATGTCTGCTCGGTGGATCCATTTACCTGTATAGGAGGATACACTGAAGTATGGTAGGCAACCATGGGAACCACCCTTTAAAAGCTGAAAGAGCCATTGCAAGCGGTTGCCCGCCGGAAGTTTAGGTTGCGTTTTTTGGCTGAGAGAGTGAACTTCCAAGTGACAAAGTAGCCCTCCAGTTGGGCATTCCTTTTTCCAAGCAAAGGCTGCCTTTCAAACCAAGAAGGAGGTTCGCCTGTGGAGGGGGTCCTTTTGAAGAAAGGTTCCCTTCTGGAAGATTGGCTGTCCGAGCCTTTTAGGGACAGACTTTCTACCTGGCGTTTTGACTGCAGACTCCTTGGGGGCTTTGAATTAATTTGTCCGTGTCCATCTGGGGCCATGATTTGACTGTTGTTGGGGGTTATCAAAGTCAGCTACTGGGTGGTTCCCTTTGTCACTTAGCGCCCTGGATGAATCAATTTGGCAGATGACTAGGGGGTGGTTCAATTGAATTGGGACACCCTACCCTAAACATACCAATCAACCAAAGAGTCACTTCTAGACCTGAATGATCAGATCAGGGTAGAAAGTGGTGAGTTGCATGGGACACACCCGTCAGCAGCTTCAAGGGCCATCGAGGAAAACCAAAGGAAAGGAAAGCCTTTGAGGGTACTGGTTGTTTGCTTTTTGTTGTTTGAGGGTACTCGCCTTTTCGGGGTTCTGTTTGTTTGTTTTTTGAGGGTACCCTTTGAGCTGAGTTCCAAGGGAATCCAAATCAAGACCATTGGGGTCCTCGGACGCCTCCCCGGATATGCGTCATGGCTTCGCTCAGGAAGCTTGCGATAATTTTTGGACGTCTGACTCCCATGCCCGAACTGCATACTTTGTGGCAAGACCATCTTCGTCTGCAGAAAGGTTGGACTGGGTTTCGCCTCTGCAGGGGACCAAGGCACATGTTTACAAGGATGGCAGCCTTCCAAAACGTGGTTGTTGGAAACAGGGTAGGGCAATGACACGCTTTCTACATTCACATTCAGCTTTACTGTTTGGTTCGTGTGGCTGATAAACTTGGGCTCATATGGACCGTTAAAGACCGGAAATCTGGGCCCAAAGGAGCTGGACAAAAGGGACACGCCATACATGGTGCATAAAATGCACCCATATCCAGCTGTGAACAAATAGTTTGTTTGCTTTTTTTCTCAAGGTGGCTCTTGTCCCTTGAAATGATCATACCTTCACAAAGCTTTCTCAGAATGAGCTGGCCCCGTTGTTGCGGGATGCGCGTTGGCTTCTTTCATCGGCTTAGATCAATTGCCCTCCCACCAATATGGAACTTGACGTTCGGGGGTCCCTTTAAAAAGGAAGATTTCCCCCGAAACGTCGTGAATTGGTGGGAGGTTGCCAACAAACTGTTTAAACCTCCTTTTCTATGTCCCCCAGTAGTGCCCTCTTGCCGTTTCTTTTTTGGGGGAGGGTTCCCCTACTAAAATAGACCACCGGAAAAAGTTCTTATTATTCCAGCTGCTCTACTGGACCTACAAACTGTTTAAACCTTTTGGTTGCCTTGGAAAAGAAAAACGATCGGGGCACTCGGGGGGCGAACATCGGGGGCGAGGTGAGTGCACCTTCCAGCCGGACCTCTCCAGAAGCTCCAGCCCACGCCTCAAAAACGGGAGCTGCACCGTTGCGGCCGAAAACGGGGGGGTGTCTTGTTTTGAGTTGGTACCTGTTGTTTGTGGTTTTTGGGGAGAACCAGTAGGAAAACGGGGATGTGTTGGTTTTTGTTGGTACCTTTCTTTTGAGAGCTGGTACCTGTTTTTGGTGGTGTTTAAAGGAGAACCAAAAAGATAACCGCCACTTTGGGAGGTCAGCCAAAAAGACACGCCCGCTTAAAGCGAGTTTCCTCAAGCGTGCCATGAATTTGGGCGTGCGTACTTCCCGGGGAGCTTGCAGCTTGCTGTGAACCTTCCCCAGATTTGGTGCGCGTAGGTACCCAAGACAAACAAAAGACTAGAAGGGAAATGTTGGGTTAGGTAGTGAAGGGTGTATAACTGGGAACTACAATGGCCTACAACCAAAACACGGCCAAAAAGGCTGATGTAAGAGTATAAATATATAGAATGGGGTTGTGGGGGCGACTTTCAAATCAAGCCAAGTCTTGATCATAGGGACAAAAGGTGTGCAGTTATTCATATTATGTATTTGTTGCAGGCAAAAGTCATAGGGATGTGTTTCATATTTTGCCATTTCAAATTCACTAAATACGGATGTACTGGTAACTTCGGTTGTAATTGCAGGTATTCGGGATGTGTTATGGTGGTTGTAGGAATAGCACGTGATGGTACATGTACTTCTCATTTGCCTTCCTGGTTTGGTCACAAAGATGAATCAGGCAGTGAATGTGGGTACGTCACTTGCACTGGTTCGCTACATGTGCCCATAGGTCATACGGGCATGAATTTCAAATAGGGACCCTCTGGTGGACATCATTTAGGAGGTGTTAAAAAAAAAAAAAAAAAACAAAAAAAAAATGTTATGTCCACCAGCCACTTTCCAAAGGGGTTCCTCCTTTAAATTCATGGCCATATGAATGGGTGCTTTGTCATGGGAGAGGGTCGCCTGCCGGATGTGTTCGGCAGGGAGCTTCGTCACAGCAAGAGCCGGCTTTAGCGCCCGCACACCCGAGCGAAAGGCACGGGGTGCATCGGCGCATGGAGTTGGGTGCATCGGGGCGGTATGAAAATGTCCACCCAAATGGCCAGTGGTGGGTTTTGGGACCCAGTCGCCCAGTGGATTCCGCCCTTTTTGCCGTTTGTGGGGAAGGGTTCCCCTTGCAAATCAACCAGCCAAAACAGGATGCCCTTTTTTCCCTATGGCCACTCAGCATTTGAGGGGAGGCAGCCCAAAGGTTAACTGGAAATCTAGCAGCTCGCCCTTTGCTTTGGTCTGCATGGGTGGGACTTTGCCTTTTGCTTTACTCAACAGACGGGACCAATACAAGCCATCAATTGGGAGGCAACCCTGAGGGTCACGACCCCGGAAATGACGACCCGTTTGGTGGAGAACCCAGTCCTTTGATCAGCTTTTGAGTATTTCCTGAATGTGTTAGACCCTGAATTCACAATTGGGTGTGTCGTTTTAGGGGACCCACCCCCCCAATGGTGATTTTGCTGCTGGTGTTCCTTCAAAACCGCAAAGAAAGGGGTACCCTCCAAAAAGTGCCCCCGAGTAATCAGCACAAGGTCCCTGCGTGGAGATTCCGGACCTGGATTAAGTGCAAAGCGGTTGACATCGGGTGGTACCCGTGTCTCTCAAACGGGAGTAGTTGGGTCATGTTGCCAGATCCATTTCTCACCAAGGGATGTTTGAATACCTTTTTGTTCCCTCATGCCCACTTGTTGAGTGGAATTCTTTCCTGAGAGTCTCAAAATGAAGGCACGCAAGTCGAAGGTTGGCCTGCGTCCCCCTCCCCCAGGGAAAAAGCGGGGTTGGTTCCAACTCCCAAGATACGACCTCATTTACGTGTGTCTTTTTGCAAAAAACTTGGTTTGGCGTGGTTTTGCTGCAGGGAAAACAGGGGCAAAAAGGGCAGCGTCTTGCCAGGAGATGTCGCATAGTGGGTGCTCGGCCGGGCGGCCCAGTCGCTGGCAAGTGGGTAGTTTTCATGGCTACTTGCCATTGGCCATCCGCTGTGTGAGTTAGACTAGATGGCGGTTGGAAGGGAGCCGGAGCTGGGGGTACCCTCCCACCAACTAACATGGGTTTGTGCAAAAGGGCCCTTTCCAAGAGGAAGGTAGTCTTTCTACAGGGGTTTGTGCGCTTCCACGAAAGCTGGTGGGAGGGTATCCAAATTTGATTTTCAAGAGGGAGCAGTTCAGGAGCTACCAAGCGGAGTTCTGGAAGGACATGGTAGTGGAGCCGTGGATGCTAACCACTTGCGAAGCACCCCGACTCGTGCCTCTGAGGAAAGAGAGGCGCCTTTGTTTGTTTATGCGCTCTGTTTTTTTTGTTTTTTACAATGCAGTTTGGGTAGGCCCTAAACCCTTTTACTGGGATCTTGGGCTACAAACGTTTGCGATGTTGCGTTCTGAATCTTCACTGAGCATGGGCCAGAATAATTCAAGAGAGAAGTTTCTGTTGGGGCAAATGCTGAGGTGGGAACACATCCATCACGGTTTGAACAATTTAAAGTGCAGTTCCTCGCGGTTATGTTCATAGGGGGAAATCCATTCGGAACCCTGCAGCTGCTTGTTTTGGCGTTCCGAAAGATTCAGCGTGGCTTGGTTCCTGTTTAGGTTGCCCAATTCCAGTTATCTAGCTTTGCCCCCAAAAAAGCAGAACTAGACATGGACCTCCAAATCGATTTGGCTAGAGTCCACCATTCTATTCCCGAATATTGCAAGAGTAGTTGAACATCCTGCAATGTCGCGCGGATTGTGGCTCGTGCACTTGCAGTATTCATGAACTCTCTGACTATCTACTAGCTTTGATCCCAATATACTTGCTTTGAACAGCTTCCCAGTAGTGTGACACCGAATTCTTTTGTTCCTGCTTCGGGTCGCCACTAAGAATTGTGAACCCCGTGATACAGGGCTGGCCATTCAAGGACCAGCCTTTGGACAAACCTCACAGCGGTGTAAACTATATGCGGCTCCTGAAATGGGCAGGGAAAAGCTGTGCGCGTGTGGTGTGCGTCCTGGTTGTGTTGAACTGAAGTGTCTGGCTCTATGTTCAAATCAAATCCCACAAATGGGTGTTTGTCGTAGCCCCCAAAAAGGCTTTCGGTGTCCTTTTCGGCTTTCAGCATCCCAAGCCAGGACTGGTGTTTCCCATACAAACCCCAGAGCGGTCCTTGAGTGCCAGACTTCATCCCAATGGGCATCAATCAAAAGGGACACCAAAAAGAACGATGTCCCTAAAAGAGACACCCAAGGCATTCTTATGAAAGGCGGACCCGTTTCGGTGCTTTCTGCCTCTGACTTTGAAACAATTCCTCCATAGGGCGCCCCTTCCCCACATGAATTTCTTTGCTACCAGGGCCCTCATGTATAAGGAGGGCCCCCTGTTTGGGCTACGGTTTGCCACCTTGATGCATTAATTACTCGTTTTGGGGTGGGGATGGCTTAAACCAGCCAAAACAAAGAGGCTCACCAAGAAAAGACGCACCCAGATACACCTCCTCACGCGTTCGCTATCGCTCAGGACCAGAACTTTGTGCCGCAGACCAACCCGGTGCCGGCGAGCATGAGAAGCGCGGCACACAAGACATGAGTCGATGCAAAGAACTCCATCAAGGCATTGAATCATGGCTGGCCCATACTGGGGATGGACGAAATCCATTTCGCACCACCTAAGAAATGCTGGAATTCTGATTCCCCTGTAAATACCAACAAGCAACGGTTTCCCGTGGCTTCAAAGTGGTGCAGGATTTTGTCCATCCACGGTATGTGCGCTTATGTGCCGTGCATCTATAAATGATACATACATAACATGCTTTCAATGTTCGGATGGCCCTCGTTGTCAGAAATGTTATGTAATTATACATGTATAATCATGTGTGTATGCATGTTTGTATGCATGTGGTGCTTGCGAAAATGTTTCTTTGCTGTTCATCACACAAACATACATAGCACACCCTGGGCTGCACATTGTTTGAATTTAGTATTGGGAGATTTGGGGTCTGGGAGAAGCACTTATTTTTGTTACATACTGTGCATTGACTACTGGGGGGAAGAGATTTCATGGCGAGCTCACTTGAGGATGAAACGAGCTCACAGTGATGTAGGCCCTCCACTTGGGGAGGTCATCGAACTATTGTGCAAATTGCAGATTATAACTGGAAGTCAATTTTTCTTTTCGGGGTCATTTGGATTTGTCGAAATTGCGGGGGGGGGGGGGGAAAAAATAGAAGAAGTAGGGGGCCTGGGGGGAAGTCTGTTGAGGGTTGCCTGTTCTGGTTTTTATGTTCATCTCAAATCTATGTTCCCCCTTATTCGTTTTTAAAAGAGGGTTTTTAGGGAGCTTATTTATCGTTTTCGTTAAGGTAATCATTTGGGTAAATTGTCGCCTTGTTCATTGTTGGGCTGGGGGCAAACATTTTTTTCATTTGAAAGAGGTAGCCCTTTTAGTAGTTATCAAGTTCTGGGGTGTTGGTGGGTCGTTTGTTTCTTTGACGTTTATCTCTACAATTATTTATTTTTGTTCTACACTCTTGACAATATTTATATCTTCTTCCACTTTTTACATTTCCAAATTCATCAATTGTTTTATCATAAAGACATCTGTTGCATTTGAAGAATTCACCATAGTCTTCTGTTGCTTTTTCTTCTGTCATTCCATAATTATTCATTATAGTTTGCTTCACAACCATTTCTTAATATATCTTAACAACTTCTTTTTATGTGATTTTTATGTGATTGTCTAGTTATGTTTTATAGGTTGAAATTACAGTATAATGAAAGGTTATAAAAGTTTACACTGTTTAATCATATTATAATTAAATATTATGATTAAACCATGAAATCATTGTTTCTGTTTTCTATAAATTTCAATTATAACATGTTCGATAGTAATGATTTCGTGTCGTTTCATAGTCTGTTTGGTTTCTTCAACTGCTTGTTCAATATGGTATTGTAATGACGCTCTACTTGAAATCTTATTCTGTTTAGATGATGAATAAGAACGACAGTTGCTAATATTATTATGATACATAATTTTTGAACTAACTTCTATTCCAACCTGTATTTCTTCATCATACTTCATCATTCTTAATAATTCTTTTGGTGGTTTCAACGCATATGAAAGCGCTTTATCACCTTTTAAGCATTTATTGCGAATCTCAACATAATATCTACTTTCTCCTACTCGTTCAGTGTAAATAGACGGTTTCCATTTCCTTTGTAATTCTCTTAAAGCATCACATTGTTTCAGTCTTCGCCACCCTTCACTACCATTAATGTAAGTAGTGATGATTGAAACTAAGCCTTCAGGTAAGCTAGCGCAATTCTCATCCATAAAATTATTCTCTGACATTTTACCCTTACTCATTTTTCTCTTAATATATAAGGCTTTTTCTCTTTAAGTAGTTTTGGCTAGGGGTTGCTGGTCGGCTGGTCTGGGTTTCAGGTTTAATTTAAATGTCTTAACCTCATTGTTAGATTATAAAAACTAGGTTTAATCATATTATAATTGAATAATATCATTAAACTAAATCACTCACGCTTTCCATCCACCTATTCCATCCCACCAGAATTCAATAATTCGCATCTGTCCATCTACTAGACTGTCTTCTGTGTTTAGTTTCCGTATCGCTCCCGATAAGATATAGTGATTAATAATCATAGCATTAAACTGCCCATCTCGGTTTAACTTTTTACCACAGTCTTTTATGATGTTTTCATCTGTTAGGTTTTCATACATTTCTTTCATGATGTCAAACCTAACAAATGAGTATATTGTCATCAAGTTTAATCCGCTATTATCCCTAAACCTGTTAATAACATCTTTCCAGAATTCTTCGTTTTCATCAACTGATGGCAAAGGGTGTCTTTTGACGAAATCCTTTATTTTGTTTAACTCGTCATCTAATTCCTTTTTATAACTGTCATTATCATCATCTTCTTCGTCTGATAGCACCCAGTTTGATAAGTCAGCAATCACTCCGACATTTTCAGTCATATTTTCACTTAATATAATAAGTTAATATTTCTTTAAGTAGTTTTTTATTTTATGTTAAGGGGCGGGGTTTTTATTGAAAAAATATTTTCTAACAATTTAATATAATGGCGAGATTAACAAAAGACCAAATAATCAGCAACATCTATTACGACTTAGACGAGGGTTTCGGAAGCACACAAGCGACACACAAGAAGGCAAAGGAAGAAGACCCAACAATAACATTAGACGATGTAAAGTCTTTCTTAAAGAAACAGCCAAATAAACAAATCAAAAATTATAGAGGAACTAATTCCTATACCGCTCCATTCGCACGATATGAATATCAAATAGACATAATGCATATGTCTCCTTTAGCAAAAGACAAGAACGTTCCACAGTATGCTTTAGTCGTGATTGACATCTTCAGTAAATTAGCAGATGTAATACCGATGGAGGAAAGAGACGGAGAGAACGTTTTGAAGGCGTTGAGAGCAAGCTTTAAAAAGATGGGTTATCCGATGTCCGTGTATTCTGATGACGACGGAGCGTTTGCAACTAAAAATCACGTTCAGGATTTCTTCAACAGTGAAGGAATAAACCACATCGTTACGAAGACCC